TGCGGTTGTTCCGCAGGTGCTGCGATTTGATATGAAAATTCTTACCGTTGGTCAGTAGGGAATGGAGGAATGGGGTACAATTATAACTACTATTACTACAATTCCATTCCCTACTAACCAAAGGTAAGAATTTCTGGAGCCAACTAAAGTGCACGTCAGTGCATAAACCAACGCACAAATACATGAAACATGAGTCAGCAATAAACAAGTAAGTGTACAAGTAACAGCCAAGCAGGGGAACAAGTAAATACGCTGGTAAAAATATTGAACGAAACATCTATCCACACAAGTACACGCACACAAAGTCAAAAAACATGTTCAAAAGTATACATCTGACAACACCTGCAGAGCATACTAATTAGTATATGTACGCAGCAGAATGCATTCACGTACATACATGCATACACACATGCATACCGACGCACCAGGCTACACACCCAAACTCATATATATATATATATATATGTATATATATATATATACACACACACATATACACGCATACATACATACATACATACATGCATGAATGCCTGAAATATGCAGGCATACAACCAGAATACTTACATACAACTGTACATACAAACATACATACAGAATACATAACACAACCTAACCTAACATAACATCCCATGCCATCCCATGCCATGCCACGCCATACCATACCATACATGCCTATGTACGTAAACAAATTCGTGATGACTAAAACCGCAAGTACTTGCATATGCCGGTAGCGCACACATATTGTAAGAACCACACATGCACAAGCTTACTCCTATGTGTGAGTGGCAGGTCCTGCGTCAGGCCGTATGTACGTAGCTATGCATGCACGATTGCGTGTACTGCAGCTTGTGCTGAAAGTGGGGCGCTCGACTCCAGACATCTCTCCACGACTTCCCTCGGCGCCTTTGCCCAATAGGCTCCCCAGGCGTTCGTCAGATTGTCCTTGCAGGGTCTAGGGCTCAGGGTTCATGGTGTTGCATCCCGGCCTCGAAAACTAAAGTACTCGTCTATGTGCGTGGTTGTCAAAATTGGGCACCCTAAACTCCTCAACAACAGGTGCCCTATGATAAATAGGGACCCAAAAGGGACCATAATTTTAACAACCACCCGTGTGTGCACCCCGATCGAAAAATCCAGCAAGGAGCAGGTTGGAACTCGGTTCCAAGGAATGCAAGTGGGAGTTTCCGAAATTAGGGGTACCCGTTTTGGGGGTCCTTGTAATAAGGATCCTACTATTTAGGGTACTATATCAGGGTCCCCTATTTTCGGGAACTCCAAGGGCCATCAACCATCGGCACATGTCCCCACTATTCGGTTTAGGGTTTAGGGTTTAGGGTTTAGGGTTCAATGCGGTTCCTTTTGTATGTTCCCCCATCCTGGTTGGTGTAAAGCCGCTCGTAGGCAGCTCCTGCAGTGGCTCGGGTGGTTCGAGATTCGACAACTTAAGCGTTGGGGGCAGGAATTGCTGGTGGGGTTGTTGATGTTAGTTTCGTCGCCTCTGGGTACTATCATCAGGATCCTACCATTTGGGGTCTTTCGTGGAAAGGCGTTTGGAGTCCACCCTGCCACAAGCCCTAAGCTCAGCCGAAACCCTGGGTTCCTCATCCCGAGAACCCCGAAAACAAGGACGCTATACCTTTGCAATTCCGACCACCATCACCACAACAACAGCACCAGCAACAACAGCAACAACAACAGAACAACGGCAACAGCAACAGCAACAACAAACACGAAAAGAAAAGCCTCAGGCCCGAAACACTCCAAAGCCTGAGCAAAGCGTGAGCCTTGAACGAAACCCTTGGCCTCAGACCCCAAACCCCAGCACGGTCAAACATGAACCCTTAAGCCAAACCCTAAACCCCAAGACCCGGAAACCCAAAACGCCTAAAACCCTCAAGCCCTGTCGCCCGAATCCCCAAAACCCGAAACAATAATCCCTGCAATCCGGTGTCCGGTAGAATACGCGGACTGGTACTCGAACCAGTCGTGTCTTTTGCACTCGCTGCGAGTTGGAAGTCCGTCTTTGCCTCAGAAGGTGGGTCCTTATGATGAGGCTGCTCCTAAGCCCGAGACCCTTACAGTCTGCATTTGCGTCCCTTTTCATCGACGTTTAGGCGTCCAAATTGTTCATGATTTTCGAGCTTGGGGGTTCAGGTTTTGGGCAGGTGCTGGGGGGCCAGGTTTACTTGCAGGGTATCTGCAGGCTGAAGCGTGTCACATAGTCACATCAGATGCGTCTCCACCGCGGGAAGTCTTACAGCCTAAACCTCGTCCGATCCTTCCAGCCGTTTACCGAGTTTACCGAAATCCGAGACCCAACACTGTGAATTTCGAAACCCACATGCTCGCCCCAACAAAAATCAAAAAGATTCCTTCCAAACCCTCAAGCTCTCGCACTCGAATCGTATTTGGTGGGGCTGTTCCTGTTCTGTACATGGTTCCACGCAGATAGATCTCCCGAACAAGGCACAAGCGAAAAAAACAAACAAACCTCACCAAACCTAGAATCTTAACCCTAAAGCCTAAGCCCGGTTTAGGGTTTAAGGCTCTTACAGCAACTGAGAACAGCTTGCCTTGTCCACGGTATGGCAGTCCCAAAGGCAAAGGAAACGAGATATCCTTTGGAACGGCCTCGGAGCGACGGCAACCGAAATACCTGTAAAACATAAGAGCTGGGCATCTGGACTGCTCGGATTTTAAGAAAGCATTTTGGGGAAGGGTTTAGGGCGAAAAGCTTGGGTAAGGCTTTAGGTCTAAGAGCTTGGGATATGCGATGTAGGGCTTTTATTTTCCGAATCCCAAGCATGGCACATCAAGATTGACTTCCCAATATCTCGAGGAGCCCTCTACACTTTCACGAAAATCGTCATCGCAATTAAACAAGCAAATAAACAAGTCAATGAACAACTAAAGAAATGCACGCGCACACACACACACATATATATATATATACACACATGCATATATATATATATATCAACCTTACTACTTGCATGATTGATGACCTGTGGGCGTGAGACGAGCTTTCCGCATCTTTTTATCTCAAGCTCGGCTTAGTCTCTGATCTTCGGGAGTTCACAACCCAAAAACCCTAACGAAGGGCTTCGGGCCGTGGGGTCGTCAGGTTCTGAGGATCTTCAGCTTCGGCTTTACGGTTTAAAGGGCTTGCTTTACCTAGAGGCTCCATAGTAGTTCCTTTTCATGGTTCATATTTAGGAACCTATAAGGTAGTCCCGAAAAGGAACTACAATGGAGCCCATGGGTAATCACCTTCAATCCCAGGAGGCTTGGGTAGTGTCGTCTATTCGTCGTTAGTTCAGCAAGATGGATAGGAACCACCACACCCCTCATGCCCCGCCTCTGAACCCCTAAACTCTAGACCCCGCCCCCCCCACCCACACCCACCCCAAGAAAACCACACAAAGGGACTCTCCTCTCGGCTTCTTCGGCCTCCTCTCTGGGCATTAGTAGTAGGACGCCTTGGTGCCTTTTGGGTTCAAGGTTCATAGTTTGGGATTTAAGGATTTAAGGAGTCTGTTTTGTTTTGGGATTGAAGGTCTACGGCTTAAGGTTTCGGACGGGCTTCGCGTTTAGAGTTGAGGGTTTAGGGGTGTGTAGGGCTGATGCTGTTCAGATCGATCCTGATGAGTTTGGCCAGGAGACCCAGAGCGGCAGACCCTCGCCGCAAAATCGCTCCGATAAACCATCCTGACGGGAAGTCCCAGCGGGTCCAAGTAATAGTAGAGTATATACTTTGGGGCCCGAATACCTACTAAGTACCTACTGTTTTGGTACTTGGACGCTTAGGGAGTGTTCTCTGTTGACTGCGTTTGGATCGGCGCTGGACGGACAAGGTCACGAGGGAAGCATGATGAAGATCCTCAGTTCTCCAATGCCTTGCCCAAAATATTGTACCCTACAAATAGTGGGATCCTTATTACAAGTACCCCAAAACAAGGTACCCCGAATTTTCGGAAACTGCCTTATGCTGCATAGTGAAGACAAGGGCTGCGAAAACGGAAGAGCAAAGGTGGCCTGGTGCATGTCGGCAAGGATGTAGATGCCATAGGACGCTGCCTGGCGTGACGGTTTAGCTCCGACGATAGAGAGTCTGATGCCAAGGTCTGACCAGCGTGTGGTTTCCCGGACGAGCGGTACGGGTAGACATTCTCGAGGCGGGGGCATATGTATACACACTATGTGCACAAATACATACTGTGTACACACATATTTACATAACCAATGTTTAACTATATTTGAATGTATCGGCCTCCGGAACAAGTACGTGTACATACGTATGTAAACACTTAAATACTTAATTACATGCCATACATACACACTCACATATAAATGCATATCTACCTATCTGTATGTATATATATATATATATACATATATATATATATATATACACGCACATGATATCACGTGTACGCACAGACACTAGCCTTCGCATATGTAGGTACGTAGGTTCGCAAGCTGCATGCAGGTATGTAATATATACCCTACATTCTCGTCCACCATACACAAACCGCTGTAAAGTGACACCTAGGTCTTGATGTACCAGACTTGACATGTGCTGGTGCATGCCACAACCGGATGCGCTTCGAACATGGGGTCCAGGGCTCAGGGTGTAGACTCAGGCTATTGAAGCACAAGGATTGAATTTGGGATGCGGCGGGAGTGCTATCACTTCATCTCAGTTGGGCTGTGAAGAAACCGCGTACATGCCAACCACGTCGCGGCGAAATATCAAACCCACTGCCTCCTTGGCCAGATCAGTGACGATCTTGAGATACGTCTCGTTGTACACACCTGCATGGAGGTTGAAGCAGCATCCCGTAGAAGGGAGGGAGGGGCTTAATTAAGTTACCTAGCAGGTTATCATAGGGCTTGATGTGTAGGGTTCAGCTGCTTGAACATGCCTGAGCATGTGCATGTCAACGCCAGCTTAAGTGCGTGCGTGTTTGAGTGTGTTTCTGTGTCTGTGTGTGCCAGGACACTTGCACACGTATGCATAGATGTCCGTATGCTTACCAAAGCTTCTGCTGCCAGGGGCAGTCCCAGACTAAGCCCTAAGACCCTAAGCCCTGAGACCCTCAACCCTAAACCCTTGAACCCTAAACCCCTAAACCCCTGAACCCTAAACCCCTGAACCCTAAACCCTAAACCCTTGAACCCTAAACCCCTAAACCCCTGAACCCAAAACCCTTTTTCTTTCAAGGCAAATGTCAGACGGCGCCGGAATCCTTGGGAGCAGGTTTTCGGGGAGCGGACTGCATGGCCCAAGCAGATAGTGCGACGGTTGCCAACACCTAGGATACCCAGTAACCTAGGAATAAAAAGGCCTCTCTTTTTGGTATTGGGCAACTTTATAAGGAACCTAGGACTACAAAAAGGGAATAAGGGTACTACTGGGCATCCTAGACACGGAAACCACCCAGATGAACATCTCAGGATCACCCGGATAGCCAAACTGGCCGCAGAGCTCCGACAGAAGGTATCCAGCCACCAGGCTAGCAGTGAAGATCGTGCCCATCAGCCTTGATCTTCATGTAGGGCTTAGGGTTTAGCATTTGGGGTTGAGGGTTTAGGGTTTAGGGTTTACGGTAGTAGGGGAATGAAGAAAGCAGTGGGGTTTGCTGTGGATCTTGGCACAAGTGTTCCTATACATGTAACCCCTAAACCCTACTCTGTTTCAACAGCCAGGCCTACTTGCCGATTTCTCTGACTCCGAAGCCCGCAGAGCCGCCGGCCAGGCGATCAGGGCTAAGAGGAAGAACCACTTCATGAGAGTGTAGAAGCCTGGAGATTGCCACGGGGATGGCTTACACTAGCATGACCGGAGCCTCCTCTGTGTCTCAGAACACTGCGACTTTCGTTAAACTTAAGGTAGCGGAGTCAAGTAATGAGTCTTCTTCCACATCTTCCTGCCATAGCTTTCAACGCAACACAACCAGCTTTCGGGAACAGGCGGCCGTGCTTTGACCAGTTCGACAGCTCATGTCCTGGCGTCACCCAGTCGCTCGGGTAGTAGAGACCGCCAAACAGACGCCAGTCCTCCCAAAGGGTCCAACCATCGGAAACCATTGAAGTTGGTACTTAGCAAGTATCTGAGGTCGCAAGTATATACTATACTATTAGGCTATAATATACTATAACTTTCACCCTTTAGGCCATAATATACCCCCTCAACCCATATACTATACTAGTACTTTTGCCCTTTTAGGCTATAATATACCCCCTAAACCTATATATACTACTATACTAGCACTTTTACCCTTTCCGGTCCTTAACCCCCTGAAACTATATACTACCCGTACTAGCACTCTTACCCTTTCCGATCCTTAACCTTCCCATCGCCCTCGCAGATCGGCGCCAGCACGCAGCGCGTGAAGAAACCCCCCGGCTCACAAAGGCGGCCATCGATGCAGTGAGAGATTGAAAGGAAACCTTCGGGGCCCGGTTTAGGGGGTTTAGGGGTTTAGGGGTTCAGGGGTTTTGGGGTTCAGGGGTTCAGGGGTTTAGGGTTTAAGGTTCAGGGGTTTAGCGGTTTAGGGGCTTAGGGCTTAAAGTTTAGGGTTTCAAGGTTTAGGGGTTTAGGGTTTAGGCATTAGGGTTGATCAATGCAGGGAGAGATTGAAAGGAAACCTTCGGCCCGGCGGACGTCACTCTCATGCAACTCGTCCCTAAGGGGTCCAGGCGCCCAAATGGTAATGCTTTTAGGGTACTAAGGACCCACTATAATGGTACTTGGGCCCTTTGGGCGTTTTGGGGATGTCTAAAAATGGTACTTGGGCCCTTTGGGCGTTTTGGGGATATCTAAAATGGTACTCGGGCCCTTTGGGCATTTTGGGGATGTCTAAAGGAGTGCTTCTGTTGATGATATAAATCCTGCATTACCTTAAGGACCCTAAACTATGGGAATTATGGTATATTCCTCATTATGGGTCATGCAGTATTTATATCATCAACCGTTTAGGTCAGGTTCTGAGGCTTGCCACTCCGAAGATAGCCGAGCATCGCCAGAGTGGCACTGCAGTGAACCGGGTTGGCAAAATGCAAGCCATGAGCACATCCAGCAAGAAGGTTAATATGCTGGGGGCTAAGAGCCTAGGTTCTTGTTACTTGTAGAGAAACCACATATTGTTTACTATAGGCCCCTCTTAACTTGAACTGTTTCTAAAGCCCTGCAAGCCTAAGCCCTCGACCCCTATTATTCTATCGTAAACTGAGCTCCTTAACAAAATCCTAGGAGCCTAAGCCCTAAAAACCAAACTGTTCCTAACAAGATCATAGGAGCTTGTGGTATACCGGCCATAGGTTCAGGACGGGGATCAGGTTGCGCGACCACACGCACACGAAACCAAACTCCAACATCTTGAATCCAGCCTCTACCAGAGACTCATGAAGCTTCTTGTAGGAGTATAAGTCCCCATCCATTTCCTGGGCTTTGAAGTAACCAGGGATAAATACGTATAGAATTTATTTCACAAATGGTTCCCTTTACGTAAAAGGTCCCGGAAAGATGGTTTACCCTAAGGCCCTAAAGTAGTTCCTTTTTTGGGTTTCATATTCAGTATCCTACTAGGTAATCTCAAAAAGGAACTACTTTGGGGCCTCTGGGTAAAGTATATTACTACAAAGCCCGGTTTCGTAGATGATCATGCGAAGCTCCGGTCTGGAGAAGAAAGATGGGAACTGTCGGAAGATGCCCTAGGCTGTTCAGTAACCCACTGGGAAAAAGCACATACTTTTTTAGGCTTCATATTTTAGAATAGGAAACCAGAAACCTGAAAGTAAAAAAGTGTACCACTGAACTGCCGGAAGATGCTTGGCAGGCAGCCCTCGCAATCAGCAAACAGCACTGCAGGCGTGCCAAACTTGGATGCCAGGTACGGCAGGCTGAAACAGCTCTCAACGTTGTAGCTCATTCCTTCGTAAGACATCTGGCGGGGAAGGCGTATAGCAGGTCCCGAGTCACTTCGGAGTTCTTCGTCCACTCCGTAAAATGGCACTTCCTGAGGGCAATGAGATGAGTCGGCGACCAAGCCGTTCACCACGTGGACATCTCCGACCTCATTCCTCGCTAAGTTTTCCTTAGACTCGCAGGCTACAAACGCACTAACCATCTACCTAGACCCTCAAAAGTACGTAGGTAAAATAATGGCCCAAAACCTATAAAAGGCTGTTATTCTACATATTTTGAGGGTCCAGGTATAAGTCTTTAAGTTTACTGGCAGGTTCATCCTGCTTAGAGGGAATGCTTCGATGTAACTCTGCTGATTGCGCGTCAGGTATCTCGAGCCTTGGGCAGAACCAGGGTGTTCGGCTCAATGCAGACAGTTCCGTTCAAGTTTCCGGACAGCTTGGCGATGAGGATGCACGATGTGCCCATGTCAACCCCTAGATTCCACACTCTTTCACCTTGTCGGATATACGAACTCAGCTGGTAACCTTCTTGCGACTCGTGAACCTGGCTAGACAGAGATTCATTGTGCCTGTCACGCAGTTCGAAGACAGGTATGCGGGGAGGAGACGTCCTCCAGTTCAGCAGCAAAAACGGCAAGATGAGGACCAGGACAGGCACAAGCCATATGGCACGAGGTGGACATGCCATGATCTAAGGTCGCCTTGCAGTCTAACGAATAGTAATAATAATAGTCATAATAAGAATTAATATTACTATGAAAAATAATGACAATGATAATGCCCACGAGTGTCCAATAAGCTGTCTAGTTTGTCCCATGCCGCGGGCAGCCGGAACTTCTACGAAGGAATGACATATAAAATGCTGTAACATGATATCACATAGTATGTTGGGCTGCAATCTACTATACAGGAATACAGTACTATGGAATACCAGACTGTACTTAAGTACACGAGTCATCATCAACCAGTAACTAGAAAAAATGAGTGTGTGCAACTTGATCAACCCCCCCCCCTAACAGTACTGCAAGCAAGCGTGAGAGAGAAGTGGCTGCAGAATGGCACGACTCCTTCGTCCCAGAGATCCACTATTTCTCAGGACTGCAGGAAACCGAAAGTTGTCTGGTGTTACCGAAAACCTCAAATTACGACTCCCGAGCTTGGCGATGAAGAACATGATGTTGAAGCTAGTGCATGATGACGATGTTGACGGTGACGGTTGGGCATAGCATCATGATTTCAATGCATTCGGAAGTCAGATCTTAAGCGTCTCAACTCTAATGCCTAAACCCAATGCCTACCCCTAAACCGGCATTTACTGTTTTTTTTCACAAGGCCTCGCTGTGGCTCCACACCGGGCCACATGACACCTCGTCAATCAAATCTCTGTGTTGTTGGGTCTGGCGACTCGAGTTCCGGGCGCTACTTTCGGGACCAAGGGGGCTCAGCTGGCAGAGGGCTTCAACGATGCGTTTAAAGGGAAGCCGTGCGGGGCAGCTACTGAGAAACATGTCGGAAACATGAATCATGTACTTACAACAAACCATGTGATCATGAACATTGTTCTCTCTCTCTCTCTCTCTCGCTCTCTCTCTCTCTCTCTCTCTCTCTCTCTCTCTCTCGCTCTCTCTGCCACAGTATATGCACGGCAAAGACATACATTGCCGAACAACTTCACAGACACATCTGCTGACGGACTGACAGATTTATGCCTTCTCTTCCTGGCTCCCTCTCTCACTCTCTGTCTCTCTCTGTCTCTCTCTCTCTCTCTCTCGCTCTCTGTCGCGCTCTCTAACTTCATCCATAAATATCGCCGTGCTGACGGAGGACGGAGCCACCGGATTGCCAAAACCCACCGCTGCCAACAGACTATCCTCTCTGTCAGTCTTCAGCCCATAGGCTTCGACATACAGCTCCTCTCCCCCCCTTCCCCCCACGCCATAATGGACCCAAGATAGTATCATCAAGCCTCGAATCATGTTCGTCTGAAGCTGACCTCCTAGATGTTGATGGGCATCCGTGGGAAACATCCCACTTCATTACACTGCCTTAAGGTTCGAACTGAGTGGGCTTAGTGTTCATCCGAATCTTTGCCAGGTGAATGTGAGCCACGACCCCCGGACGCCAATAGTCCCCTAAACCCTAAACTGTCCCTAAAGTGAAACGATACCAGCCAAGCCAACACTCCGAGACTTCGGCAGCACCCCAGCACATCCCCAAGCAAAATAACTAGTTAGAGCACTATGAGCTGAATTTCTACATTTTAAGGGGTTTAGGGTTTAGGGGTTTAGGGTTTAGGGTTTAAGTTTCATGTGACTGGGTTTCGAAGGCCAAACTTCTTGAACGGCGAAGACCCCAGACTCTAAACTCCGATCCGGGTTTGTGGTCGCTGGAGCCTGCGGGGCGAGGGCGCTTTTTTCAATAGAGCTTTTGTAACATCTGGGCTTTGAAGTAACCGAGGGAAAAAGTACAGACGTTTATTTCATAAGTGGTTCCCTTTACAGAACAGGTCCGTACAAGTACTAAAGCGTGGTACTCCAAAGCTCAGATATAGTGGCCGTAACAGTTAGACCAAGGTTCCGTGGCATGTTATACCACGATTATGGTAAGGAAGCTGAAACGGAATAGTAATGACTAGTCTTCTATCCACAAGCCTAACACCTTAACAGGAACACCACACCTGAACGCAACAATAAAATTAACATAAAACCGCAGCGCGTTTATCATCTACATCCCCAGGTCAATCAAGATCACCACCACCCCCCCCTCCCATCCCACCAGAAAAACAAAAAACTAAAGCCTACCCCACCCCCCCTCCGGTTCCCAAGAAGTGGGGGCGCGGCCAAGCCGAATTAAGTTCAGCCCTGCCGATCGCATCATTCGGAAATCCTTGAGTTCAGACCCGAGGCTTTGGCAACACAGTTTTTTGCGGGCCCTTTTCCGACTGCATTACCAGAGGGAATACCCTACCAGGTGGAGCCTATGTGGGGGCCTCAGTGGGAGTACAGGAGTTAGTGTGACCTAAGGGTCTAGGGATTTGGGATGATTGCAACCTAGAGGGTTCGGTCAGGGTTTAGGGTTCGGGGCTTCGTTCGTTCGGGGTTTAGGGTTAGGGTCTAGGGTTCAGGCAATAATTCCAAACTGGCACCGGTATTGGTGGATGGATGATGGACATGCTGCGACATGCTGGTTTGTAGCTTGGTCGTGGTGGTGGCCGTCGTCGTCGCCGTCATCCCGAAAGCAGTCGCCCAATCCTCATTGATGATATCACATTTCGATTACTATTCCTACTACAATTGTACGAGTATCCCGCTTAATGCTCCTATTATCATTATTGTGTTATTCTGGGTCTCGGGATGAGGGAGGTTGCATCCCAAGCCAGGCAACGCTCCTTCATCTAAACCTGGCCGAAGCCCTGAGCCCTAAACCCCAAATCCTACAGTAGAAGCCAGAAAGTTGGAATATCATTATCGTAACCCCTTTAAGGTAAATTATAGGGGATCCTACCATTAATCCATATTCCAACTTTCCGGAGTTCCCTGTAAGCCCTGAAGCCTCAAACCTGAACTCTGAAGCCCATACCACCAGCGGTCCTCGGCTGTGAGTGACGTCATCGGGTCAAAGCCCTCCCGAGATGGAATCCAAGGAGGGCCCTTCCTCAAAGTTTCGGTGGCTCAGAGCTTAGGGTTCCTGCAGTAGGGGCCCTTTAAAGGATGCATAAGCGAGTTCTATAACTTAGGAGGCCCGTCTGAATGGAACAGAAGGCTCCTTAACGCAAGCCAACGGGGAGTCTCATGATGTTCAACGACATTTAGGGACACATCCCTAAAGCTTCAAGCCCATACCTACACTGCACCCTTTTAAGCTTAGACTTTTGAAGCCCTCATCACCTCTGCACCGCTACTATCCCCTCTCTGACCCATCAGTGGGCTGGGGATACCCTGCAACCCTAACCGCATGTCTGTTGATATTCAGACCACGGGCATGCTCCAAGATCAACACACTGGCGACAATAACTCCCCAAATCCGAACCGTAAAGCCACCAGCATTCCCTAAGGGTCCATGTACTCATATAGCATATACATTGGCCTTAATGTAGTCCCTATATATGTACTTTGGGGCCCATGTATCTCTATATGGGTACATGGACCCTTAGGGATTACCAAGCCCCAAGCCTCGACAATGCACAAACCCTTGACAAGTGTGAGCATCCTATAGGGACCGCCCCGGGCCCTCAACCGGACTTAAGCAACTAATCTGTTGGAAATGTTGAGTTGATCGCCTGGCATTCGGGCTTAGGGTGCATGCCACGCTGATGGCACCGATTTAAGTCTGTAGGGTTTTCGGTCCGTCCTAGCTTCAACCTCTCTGTCTCTCTTTCAAGCCGAAGCGGCACTATAGCATTGGTGCCGTGGAAAAACAGCTCTCCTCATGTCAAAGCACAGACGGCTTTGGGATTCGAAGGCCATCCATGTCTTGGAATGCGAGAGGCTAAATCCGCACGGCGGCAGCCCATGTCTCCGGATCCATCGAACGAACACATCATACACTACATATAGCCAACTACAAATGCAAAAACATGCGTACGAAATACATAGCTAAGTATGTACACACGTACCTACGTGCATATTTACGTCTGTTTGTACGCATGTACGTGTAAGCCTACATACGCATATAGCAAACAAGTGTGTGCATATGCATTTTTGTACAGGTATGTCTACGTGCATGTACTTATATGTATATGTATATGTATATGTGCAAACTACAAGTCGCACTACTCCATGCGATACTGTGTGGCCCTATCTGTATGCCCACCTGTCTGTCTGTCTGTTTGTTTGTATCATGTATGCATGTATATGACCCAGCTGCATGTATTTTTGCAATGTACGCATGCAACGTCTGAAGTGACTGTGCTTGCCAGATGCATATGGAGATATGCATGTCGTATGCATCTGGACATATGCGTGATGTATGTGTGCTTGCACGTGTGTTGATATACGATCACCCATGCTGCACAGCATTCAATGCGGATTCGGTGTTGTTGTTGTCGTGGTTGCAGGCCGCCCGGGCATGAAATTGCCAGGCGGACATAGCCACAACAATACCGACGAGTACCGATGTCTTGCATATTCTTGTGACAGCCAACAGCTGCCATTGCTTTCCCAGCCTTGACAACAACCGTGTGCAGAAATCCCAGCATCATTAATATTGCGTTGATTGTGGTGGTTGTGGGAACCCCACTGAAGGAAAGACCACTAAAGCTCTCTACTGCATGCCCATCCTGCAGTCATCCCTAATTACAAGCCCCAAACTAGAACAAAGAAAGCCCTCTGAAATCTTTGAAGGTATCCCTCCACTGGAATCCCTGTTTACGACATCTTACAGCTACATGCACCTTTACTGTTTCTATTCCCTGCTGAAGACTTCGGCAAGGAGCGCCCCTCGGCGTCCACGAAAGAGCGCCTTGGATCTTATCATGACGAGCCCTTAACAGCTAGGATAATGCTATTAATACTGTCTTGGGTTTAGGGTTTAGTACTGGCCTTACCTAGACCCTCAAAATGTAGGTGAAATAATGGCCCAAAAATCTATAAAGGGCCATTATTCTACATGCTTCGGGGGTCCAGGTAAGATCTCGAATTGGGTCTTCAGGTGTCTTCGTAATTTTTCAAGGACTGGATTCAGATTTGGAGCTGCAAAGGTTTCTGTCGAAAGCTCCGATTTCTATCCGACATTTGGGGAACCTCGGGGAAACTGCACAAGCTGCTGCAAGCGAGTATACCGTATACCCCTAACTGTCTGTTTCTTAGTAGGGAATGGGGGAATGGATTATGGAGCTATTGGGGATTATATGGGAGTTTCCGAAAATTATGGGAATCTATTTTGGGGTCCTTATAATAAGGATCCTACTATTTAGGGTACTGTATTAGGGCCCCCTATTTTCGGAAACTCCCATATAGGGACTACTATAGAGATCCATTCCCCCACTCCCTACTAAGCACCAGACAGCCTACGGAACTCACCCGTGTTGACCATGTCGCCGGATGATACAAGAATGCACTGTAACTTAAGGGGTTTAGGGTTTAGGGTTTACAAAACTCTGAGTCACCGTTACTATTCTAAGCACTAGGAGTGAACAGATTTGCCACTATGCTACTGCTTAAACCACAACTACCAAACAACCACCACTCTTACTGTGTATTACTATTCCCACCACAACGACAATGACAACAACTACTACTGTACTACCGTTGCTGCAGCTACTGCCGCTGCTGCTACCGCTGCTACCCTTGGCAGTGCTTGCTGCTACTACTTGTGCTGCTGCTACGGTTAACAATGCATCAAACAGCTCCGTCGGAGTTTCCGAAAACAGGGGACCCTAGTATAGTACCCTAAATAGTAGGACCCATATTATTAAAAGGACCCAAAATAAGGGACCGTAACCAGCCTGCAAGATGTAGATTCCCTCATAAGCCCTGAGCCTTGAGCCTTGAGTCACACCGGCCTTTGGCAGAGAGCTCGGGGTGTGGGTCGTTTGAACACTAGCGACTAATCCAGGAGCCTTAGCAAATAGAGTTAGGGTATTGGGGTACATGGTACTACAACTCTAATATAATAAGCAACCCCAACACACTCTTGGTACTTACTCCGGCCCGTATAGTGCTCGAAAGGATCCGATAGTTAAAGTTCTAGCTGTACCATCACAAACTGAGCCATGCATCGAATGCGATGCCCGTTTATCACGAGCTATCAGTGCCACTGCAATTCCCGTTTTAAAGCAACTGGTACTGCATCCTACTATGTCTCGGATTCTACTGGTATCCTTACAACTCACTGATGTCCGTCATGTTCTTGATGCTCTGGTTGCTCAGCTTGGCAGCTGGAGCCTCCGACACTTGAAACCATCAGCCTCATTTCAAAAATCAAGAACCACAGGCTCGAAAACTAAAAACCTAGAAAACCCAAACTCCAAACGCAACCCCAACGCCATAGGCCCGAAGCCTAAGCGCGAAACTCTACACCCTACATCCTAAACCTAAACCCTAAACACTAAGCCCTAAACCCTGAACCCGAAGCTCTGCACCCTAAATCCTGAAAGGCCAAGCGGCTCTCCTGTCTCACGCCGCCGAAGGCGCAGAGACGGCAGTGCCGCTACAAGCCTGAAGGGACCAATGCCAAAACTTTAACCCCTTCACACAGAACATGTGTATGTATGTAGGCAGGTGGGTAGGTAGGTAGGCATGTTGTATGCATGTATGTCTGTATGTATGGGTCGTGGCAATCGAGCAAATCGAACTTCTGCGACAGTGATTTCAAGAGTCCTTTAGGATTCGGAACAATGACTGTCATTATCGCGGCAAGACTGCTGCAGAAAATTCAGAAGTTGCTAGACTTCTAACACTGGTAGGAAGAACCAAGGCAGGACCAAAGTCAGAGGCGATAGTACTATCAGACTCGTATGAGCGATTGTGGCAGCAAGGCTGACAGGCCTGCCTTACGGGAACGATGACAAGAGAGCAGCTGTACCAGTAGCACTGCATGGGATCCCACGGTGCACAACAACGGCCTTCTGTCGACTGCTGCAGCCAAGGTGCGGGCAAAGTATCAACAGTTTCCAATGGCAGCACGCCATGGCTGGGACGAGTTCCCGATTATGGAGACTTACGCGGGCGACAATCCGCCGTGCATACTCGGCGTCTGAAGCTGCTGGGAGACTCGCCTTCATTGCTTAAGCCTCTTGGGTGAAAGGCTGCATGGTTGCTGTCATGCAGAACATAGGGATTTCCGCAGTAAGCTGCGAAGCTTCGCGCTAAGATGCATGGATTGCAGGCTTGAGTATAAAAGGCCAAAGGCCGTGGAAGGGTGCACACCTCGCAGAACTCTGTGTGGCTGCATGGTGTCTGTTCCGTGTGGCACGAGACTCGTCAAGACGTATGTCTGCCAAGACCCTATATTCTAGCAAAACATAGCCTGGTACCACTGGCGGCCTGCCTGGGAGTCGAAGACTCCTTCCAGCTGGATGTCAAATTGCGACGATAGTGCCGACCTCTGGAAACACCGCAGAGGATGTCAAAACGCGAAACCAGAGCTGACCTTTAGAGACATCGCCTTGGACGGCTAACTCACAAATTCCCAAGTTACCATTCATGTTGTAGTTCCTCCACTTCAGGGGGTTATTGTAGTACTCACTAGATGTTAAGCACGCATGCATGATGCTCCTGCAGGACTCTCTCAGCCGAGCCGCTAATGTAGCTCGAGGTGCTTGCAATACCAATTCTTTCATTACCACTCTCTCAGGGTGCAAGTCGCGAAGAACAAGGTACTCCCAACAATTTGCCCTGCCATGGCTGCGATCCTAGCAATCTAATTGCCTGTTCATTGGTTTGGAGACCTGATGAAATGCCAAGATCAATCAGACTACAAAGTAACGGCGGTAAGCATGGCAGCAGCAGCAGCAGCAGCAGCAGCAGCAGCAGCAGCAGAAACCGTGCAATGAAATCACAGTGACAGACGGTTGTAGGACTCATAAGAGTGACAGAGGCATTAAGCGACGGCAGCTGTTATACTGAGAATCATCATAGTTTCGAAGTGCGAAATCATGAGGCCAAGACCTTACACAACCTTGAACATCCGTTGGCCCGAATAAGGACACTAAGGCTCAATGTGTCGAAACCCTAAGCCCTAAATAAAAAACAAAAGAAGGTCTCTGCGGGGCCTTGATAGTATGACTTATGATTGTGGAGTAGCACAGAATGAGTGACAGTGACAGCCTTATTCACCAAAGAATCTTGCAAACACCTGCGGACCTATTTAACGGTCGTGACAATCAGAAACAAACTTACTGCATCCAGGGTCGGTTATTGTTTAATTTTGAAGGCTCGTCTCAGTGGCTGGAGGGACCTTTTCCATGGAGCAATACTCCACAAACAGACTATAAGTCCTTCAAGACACACGCTCGAGACGATTTTTCTGGCACGGGCAGTCATCTGGATGTGTCTCCCGGCGAGAGACGGCAGAACCGAAATTCTGCATGAACTCGGCAACCCGCCCCGTCGCCTGCGTGCGGTTTTAACTGTTGGATTTCGGGTCAGGGTTCAGTGACTATAACGACAATGAAGACACACATGTACCGAATCATAGTCGTATTCAGACTCATAACAGTATCGAATGAAATTTCAACAGTAACAGTATGGTAATAGAAACAGTAATAGCACTTGCAATTGAAACATCACTAGCAATGGAAATCTTATGTAGTGGTTACTAGTCATAGACAGTAGTAGATCGTGCAATGATGATAAACATAACACTACCAACACAACTAGAACTAAAACAGATTATTCATATTTCTAGCAATGATTACATTAACCACAGTCGCAGTAACAGGCAAACGGAGATACGCAATCAACGTGCCAAAACATTTACTTGCAGTGGCCAAGTACCAGTGACCACAATACAGCAAACAAGCTCACTGTATCCGGTCCTGGAAACTACGGCCAAACCCGATGCGCGCCGGCTAACTGGTCCCCCCTTTCACATCAACTCGCACTGCGACTGCTTTACGCCTATAAGCACTTGGCAACCCAGGTTCCGACACCCTTTGTAAAGAACCTTTGAAAGGCACCCATTGAAAGAACATTTCTGAAAGACGCCCTGTTCGAAGACACTTCTTTAAAAGCCTTTTCAAAGGTGTCTTTAAAGCGACCCTTGGAAAGAAAGCCTCTTAAAAACTGCTTTCAAAGACGCCTCTTTAAGGGCACCTTTAAAAGGCACTCTTGAAAGCACCCTTGGACCTTTGAAATGCACCCTTTGAAAGGGCATCCCTAAAAGACACCCTGTTCCAAGACACTTCTTTTGAAAGGCCAAGTTGTGGCTATGGTGCGAAAGCCTTCAATTTTTAACCGAGTTGCAATCTGCATAGGTGTTGGGCTACCTTCAGCGCTCAAGTCCTTCTCCTGAGGTCTTGTTGGAAAGAACTTCGGTTCAGTTTTTGTATTGCAGATGGTACATTCTTTAAACTATTCTCCTCATGCGAGATAGAACCGTTAAGCACAACATATGCAACCCTACAAAGACCCTCTACCACATTATCAAAGAACCAACAGGCCAACACGCGCCCAGTCTCTGCGCCAGCATGGAGCAACAGCTTCACACATCTGAGGTCACACTTGCGAGTTGCGATGAACAGCCTCACTGCCATGGGGTTTCTGAAGCTTTCCAGATTTTGCAGAGTTTGGCGGGCTGCCTAAAAGCCGGGAAACATGGTTCGCATTCCTCCTGCTCGACGACTTTTCAACAAGAAGAACTTTTGAGAGCCGGCGAAATGATCTGAATTTCCCGGAAAAGAGAATGCCGCTAAACCCCCTTACTTAGGAGCACCGGTACTCACAGGCCTCAGAGTTTGCATGATTGGACGACTTGGGGCACTGCAACAGCGGACGCGTCAGGCAGGCAGCTACAAGCTTCTCTAGGGTGTCTTTTCTTCAGTCAACTTCCTCAGCACCTCATGCCATCAAGCTACGGCTACGATGTTCTGCGGCGCAGGCGAGGACTGCTCAACTGTGGTCCCTTCTGTCGTTGCCGGTATGACTCACCCCTTTCCAACTAGGCCATGACGATGCGGAGAAACCTCCGAAAGCCCAACCCAGCCATGTATATGCAGTATACACGACACTATCGTGCGAGAGCACCCTCCCTGAAATGACTTCTATAGCGACCAGACTAGGGTTCTATACGCTGGGCAGTTGCAACCATCTAGCAAGCGATCATTTGAAGCACTAGATGAGGATCATCAGGAGCTGGGCCGTAACGCCGAAACTTTGAAACGCATAGCCGAAATCCCCAAAGCCCTACAGATCCCTACAGCCCCACAGGCCCCCAAAACCGTATCAACCGGTACGCACTGCTTGAAGCTTCTTTGAGCACGGCAGCGCGGAGACGCCGTGGGAGCTGCAAATATTGACATCTGCCTGGGTTGCTGTTAGGGACCTCGAGGGTTAAAGGTTCAGGGTTGAGGATTCAGGGTTCCCCAAACCCTAAACCCTAACCCTTGAGAATTCAGGGTTCCCTAAACCCTAAGCTATCCGAAACCCTAAACCCTGTTCGGGGCAAGGGTTCTTACGTTACTTTGGGTTTCAAAAAGCCGTAAACCAGACACAAATGAAAACCCATCCTATATGAAGCTCTTGAAGAGCAAGCCAAGCGCCTTTGTCTGGAGGAGGAAGTCAGCCAAGTCGACGCTGTTCTGGAGCACTGCCATTTGGAGTGGCGTTACCTTTCTCTAAGGGTCCATGTACCCATCCTTTAAGGGTACCATAAGGGTTCCTTTAAGGGATCCATAGGGTTCTATAAGGGTTTGGGGTATAAGGGTCCATGTACCCATATAGAGATACATGGGCCCCAATGTACCTATATAGGGACTACATTAAGGCCAATGTATATACTATATGAGTACAAGGACCCTTAGGGTTTTGGATGCTTTGTCTGCGGGGTTTAAGAAGGTTTAATGCTAAGAGGGCTTAGGGCTTTTGGGGTTCAGGGTTTTGGATAATTATGTGTCGTTACCTTGCAGGCTGTTGGGGGCTTTCAGAGATTGTTGGGCATAGGGTTTGGGGTATACTTCCCCAATAAAGCAGAAGGTTCCAAATTTCAGATTTATACCAAGTTTGACGAACCCAGAACCGCAAGGTTAGGTAGAACTAAGCGGCAGCGCAGAATTCAGAGATCTCGGCCACCGAGCACTCGGCGACCATTGCAGTACAGGGGAGCATGTGGCTCTGGCAGTTTACCTTGGCTTTGAAGTAACCAGTGCAAAAAAAAACGTACAGACCTTTACTTCATAATTGGTTTTTTTAAAGTAACAGGTCCCAAAGTATTACTTGGATCCCAAAAGTGTGTAGAATAATAGCCTTTGATAGGTTTTGGGCCATTATTTTACCTACTTTTGAGGGTCTAGGTAAGGTACTTGGAGGGTCGGGGGACTTAGTAAGTAGGTAGTAGGTAGACTTATAAGTACCCTAAAAGGGACCCTACTGGGGGTTATGGTACTTATAAGTCCCTAAAACAACCAGTTACTAAGTCCCCCTAAACCCTAAACCCTATACCCTTATAGAATCCCTATAGACCCCTTTAAAGGACCCCTAAAGGAACCGCTTAGAGTTACTAAGTCCCCCGACCCTCCAAGTATGGTACTCCCAGTCCCAGTTACATCCGCACCAGCCTGAACCAACGCGCGCACGATGGAGAGACTGCTCCTGGGTTCCCGGCGTAGGGCTTAGGGGTTTAGGGGCTTAGGGTTTAGGGGTTTAGGGTTTAGGGGTTAGGGGTTTAGGGGTTTAGGGGTTTAGGGGTTTAGGGGTTTAGGGGTTTAGGGGTTAGGGGTTAAGGGGTTTAGGGGTATTAGGGGTTAAGGGTTTAGGGCTCTTTGAAAAGAAGCATTCCCTGTGTTTGGGCAGTGGATTTCAAGAGGAACTCCGAAAAACAAAACTAGAAACTGTGATACTACTGGGCAACCTGGACCTAGGCTCACAGCGCAGGCCACGACCAGGGGCGACAGGATCTTTGTGGCACCAGAGGCCGTGAGGGTGTACTGAGCATTGGGGTCTGCAGGCACCTCCAAGCTTGACAGGACACCATCATAGTCCTCTTCAGAGATAGCCTTGGGCTCTAAACCCTACAGTAAAAGCCAGAAAGTTGGAATATGATTATCCTAAGCACTTTATGGTAAATTATAGGGTATCCTACCCTGAATCCATATTCCAACTTTCTGGAGTTCCCTTTAAATCCTAATCCCTAAACCCTCATCATCCCTCATCCCTCAACTCTAAACCGAGGATAGCAAGCCTAGACCAGAGGATCCTCCAAGATGCAAAACAGATCCCTACTTGGAGGATCATGGGACTCAGTGAGTAGGGTTATAAGTACCCCAAAGTGAGTAGGGTTATAAGTACCCCAAAGTGAGTAAGGCTATAAGTACCCCAAAGTGAGTAGGGTTATAAGTACCCCAAAGTGAGTAAGGCTATAAGTACCCCAAAGTGAGTAGGGTTATAAGTACCCCAAAGTGAGTAAGGCTATAAGTACCCCAAAGTGAGTAGGGTTATAAGTACCCCAAAGTGAGTAAGGCTATAAGTACCCCAAAGTGAGTAGGGTTATAAGTACCCCAAAGTGAGTAAGGCTATAAGTACCCCAAAGTGAGTGAGTACCCCAAAGTGAGTAAGGCTATAAGTACCCCAAAGTGAGTAAGGCTATAAGTACCCCAAAGTGAGTAAGGCTATAAGTACCCCAAAGTGAGTAAGGCTATAAGTACCCCAAAGTGAGTAAGGCTATAAGTACCCCAAAGTGAGTAAGGCTATAAGTACCCCAAAGTGAGTAAGGCTATAAGTACCCCAAAGTGAGTAAGGCTATAAGTACCCCAAAGTGAGTAAGGCTATAAGTACCCCAAAGTGAGTAAGGCTATAAGTACCCCAAAGTGAGTAAGGCTATAAGTACCCCAAAGTGAGTAAGGCTATAAGTACCCCAAAGTGAGTAAGGCTATAAGTACCCCAAAGTGAGTAAGGCTATAAGTACCCCAAAGTGAGTAAGGCTATAAGTACCCCAAAGTGAGTAAGGCTATAAGTACCCCAAAGTGAGTAAGGCTATAAGTACCCCAAAGTGAGTAAGGCTATAAGTACCCCAAAGTGAGTAAGGTTATAAGTACCCCAAATAAGGTTATAAGTACCCCAAATAAGGTTATAAGTATAGTTGCCCTAATAATAACTCTACTTACTAAGTTCCATGATCCTTTCAGTAATATTGCCCAAGGAACCGACATAAGCTGCTGGCTCGCCGAGGTAACGTAAGGAAGTACTAGGATTTGCATCTCGGAGGGGAAACCAAGGCTCGCCCATGAAGAGGATTTCGGTACCTCCTGGCCTCCGCAACAAAGTCGCAGCCTTTGAGTCGGCAGACCCATCAGATCACTCAGGTGGTGTTTCAGGGCATCCGGGAAGGCTGATCTGCCCTGTAATGTAGCTCCTTCCACAGTCGTCACGACGTTGCCGGAGAGGCTACGAACCGAAAGCATGGCTTTTAAGGTCTGGCATTCCAGGTTCAGGCCTTTCGTTCCCGAAGCTCTGCCTGCAAATGCTCGGTTTTCATGATAATAGCCATACGATTATAGTAACGCTTCTACTTATACTGCTTATAGTTCCCCTGGTAATTCTGCGGTTCCAAAAACTCTTGTGACTACATGATTAAATTCTTTACGATCCTGCAGCAAATCAACCAGCCACAGCACGCTGCACCTACTTCGAAGGAGTCTCAGCCATCTGTATCACGAGGGCAAACATTCTTCGTGAAAGCCTTCAACAAGTGGTGGGGTAAATCCATCAATATAATCGTCTGCATGATCTAAGCTGAAAGCCGCGGAGAGTACATTTAGGGGATGAGGTGTCTCCGGGTTCAGAACCTGAAGCTTGAACTCAAACACTAGAGTCACTAGACGACCATTGTATGATTTCTTTAAGGGTTGTGTGCCCAAGTGGAGACCCTTTACACGGAATAAACCTCAAAACATGTGCTCTAGCCCGACATCAATAAAGGTATACACGATCTGCACAAAAAACTTTCCAGCCCTGTATCCCAAATCGAGGGGTGGCCTGAACCGTAAACCCTGTACCCTAAATCGCCCTGAGCCCCAAAACGGCTTTCCGGATGCCTTCTGATTCTGAGGCCGCCACGAATCCTCGCGACAGTCGTGCATTACCTGGAGAGTTGTGTCGAGCGGGATCCCTGTGGTTTAGGGTTTGGGGGGCAGGGTTTAGGCTTCCAGGTAACCCCATCCCCCTTACCTCTACCTCAACTTACCTAAGCGACAGGAAACAGTCTCGAAGAATGCGTTGCAGCCTTTATCTTTCGAGGTACACTGCTTCAACGGCTTCTGGGATGCCCAGTGACCTAGGAATTAAAAGGACTTCCTTTTTGGTGTTGGGTCACTTTATAGAAAAGGGAATAAGGGTACTACTGAACTACTGGGCATCCTAGGCTTACTTGAAAAATGCTGCGCATCTTCAGCTCGTCAGGGGTTGAGTTTGATTATACACAGGTGGGATTAAGGGTTTAGGGTTTAGGGTTTCGGGGACTCGGCTGTGGGGGTTATAGGGTGAACCCCACAGGAGAGCACGGTTTGGGATCTTTGTGCCAGGGGGGCTCGCTGTTTTAATTCCTAATATGGATGCCAACTTCACTGCGCCTTCTACAGACCCATGTGCTGAGGTTGAGGCTTAAGGAGCAGAGCCTATACAATCCATTGAATACCAAACACCTGGCTCCTGTGAGGGGATTACTGTAGGGGCCGTAGTATTTAGCATGGGGTTCTGGTGCCCAGTATACCATCATTATTATAAAGAACCTCGCCCAAAGAAAAACAAAAATATATAGGTGATTATTGAGGCCCCTAGATGAGGGTCTTGTCCAGGTTCGTAGTTCAGTATGTGTATTAAATTCTGATTACTGCTTCGTTTATTACCAAATCCTCAAAAACAATAGTGTTACTGTTATTTTCAGCATTACTGCAGCTTTTGTTATCATTATTATTATGGTTATTGTTTTTACCCCCATCAGTATTGCAATCATCTTTAGTCTTATCAACATAGATAACGCAGGCCTTGGTAATGGCCTTGGAGGCCAGGACCGGATGCAGCGTTTCGATGACGCCCTTGCGTAGCCCATCAAACAGATAGACCTTGGCACTTTGAGCACGCTTTAGCCCCGCAAAACCCACCGTTTTAAATCCATCGTAAAGCATAAAAGGAACACACAGAAAGTATGGTTTCTTGGTGTGTGAGGTTGGGGCTTTCCCTGAAGCCTACAATCAAAAACCACATCCCGTCAGACCAGCGTGACAAGTGGGACTTAACAAATCGTCTTTGGGTTTGGCGCACTGGAGCTTACCGGCATAGGGACTGTTGGACTCGGCTTTGGGGCATTGAAGTTCGCAGTCTGCATGTGAGGTGTTACCGGTTTTATATATACACGACCCTGCAGCAACCTAACTGTCACTTTTTGGAGCGAAGAGAGGCGATAGCAGCAACATTTCTCCGAACCTGCTTGTGCAAGGGAAAATTTCGGAAGATTGCCGGCGCAGTTCTCACCTGATATCGGCGTAGAATTCTGAATACGATTCACATCACGGCTGGAGCGAGCTCGGGAGTTTCTCGCTTCAGAGTTTCTGGCGAGCAAGTTTCGGATCTTACCTGTAGTCTACATCGTAGTTCCTTTTTTGGTTTAACCAGTTATATAGTAAGGATCCTACAAGGGAACCCCCAAAAAGGTGCTACAATGGAGACTACGGGCAATCAGAAGAGTTAGGACTAGACTAAGGTTTCGGGCAGTAATATTGTAGAGCAAGATTCTAATTGAAAAGCGTCAATATAGGGTTTCCAGCTTTTGTTTGAGAAGCTCCCGTGTTCTCGTCAATGGCCCGCGGTATTTGCTACAGTACTTCTGTACACTTGAACAGAGCTGAGGAAGCCGCGGCATCGGAGCATTCCAGACGGGACCCGGAGGCTTTACTGTTTTGGGTTTAGGGCTTAATGCTTTAGAGTTTTGGGTTTAGGCTTGGTGAATATTTCAAGGTCGGCTTAGGGTTGAAAATGGGCTTCGCTGTCAGGGCGCTCACCATCCGGGTGCCTTTTCTGTAGACAGGCTTGTGCTCCGTTCCTTCTCAAACAGAAGGTGCAAGTGGGAGTTGTTCCGGATTGGGCCCCTGTCTAAAGCGAGATCTCGCGTGTTTTCGAGACAAGTATATAACAGCGAAAGGAGCCCTACTTGGAACAACAGCCGAAGAGCTTGCAATGGCATTACGACTAGACACAGCTATCTGATTGCGGGACTGCCGTGGTGCAATGCAGCACTCTCGGAACTTGAGTTGACTGGCGCACTCGAGCACCATCAGGCAAACAATCGCCAGGATGTCTGCAACAGGGACCATTCAGCGTGAACCCTCAACAAATACGCGGAAAGCCTACGCAACTTATAAACACCATCGACTCAGTTCCGTTTGACGAGGGCGCATGTTGATGCCAGCAATCAGCATCTGGAGAGCCAAACCAAGCGTCATGCCTCGGATTCTCATATGCGCTCACAGCTAAACCGTAAACGAGGCGTCGATTTCAACAGTCCAAAAAACATTTGAAACTAGGGCTGTGTTTTGAACAGATAAGGGATATTTCCAAAAATCCCAAATCGATACCTAGTATAAACCTAAACCCAAAACCCAAAACCCTGAACTCTAGTCACACCGAGTCACACTGGTTTAGGGCTCATGGTTTAGGACCCCAAGCCCCGATCCGCCTGCGACCTAATCTGCGAGGCTCCGAGAGCTGGAGTTTAGGGTTTAGGGTTTAGGGGCTTGGGGGTTTAAGAGTTTAGAGGTTAGGGTTTTAGGGTTTAAGGTTTAGGGGATCAGGGTTTATAGGGTTTATAGGGTTTAAGGTTTCGGGGTTTAGGGTTTTTTGGGGTTTAGGGTTGTTTGGAGGTTTAGGGTTACGGGCTTAGGTGACGCTTTTAATGTAGAACACCGAGTTAAAGTAAAGACTACTATAAACTCTGAACCATATAAGCCCCAAGCCATAGAAACCTACATAAATAGGACAAGTATCCTGACGCTAAACCCTACTAAGGAACAATGCAGGCCATAAGCGGCGGAGGAAGATCTCCAGCCGGCAACAATGTAAGTTTTGGGTTTTGGAGGGTTCAGGGCGCAATAGCTTAGGGTTTATAAGGGTTAATTCAAGGTTTAGGGTTCAATATTTTGCAGCTTAACGTTGAAGGTGGCATACATGTAGTTTTGCGGCTTGGGGATTAAGGCTAGGTAGTTTAGGGTTTAGGGTTGGCGGTTGTGTAAATTATAGGCATTAGGGTTAGGGAGTTGCATAACTTAGGGTTTCAAGCTTATGCTTAGAGATGTGTGCTGCCGGTCGGAGCGGTGATTGGACGCCTTCGGAGACAAGATGCAGATAAGGCACAGAGTCATAGTTTCCACCACCGTCAACGCATCTGCACTGCTGGCAGATATCTGGCCAGGGCTTAGTATCATCCGAAAACATCTAAGCCCTGAACGTAAAACCCCCATCATCAAGGGCTAGACCCTTGGGGGCAAAGCTGAAACGACGGATTCTCAAGCCTCAGGAAGAGGCTCCTGTAAACTGCATCGCTAAGGCAATCTTCTTAGTCATGCATCTAGGGTTTAGGCGGCTTAGGCGGTTTACGCTTTAAGGTGTGGGTGTTGCGTTCATTTCATTCTCCGAACGGAGGTTTGGTGTATATACTATGTTACGACTATATAGGGGCGATAAGGCAACAGTCGTAGTGAGACTTCAGACCTGTGAGGAGGCTGGGCCCCACCCTAAACCCTGAACTCTACCAGACTAAACTATATAACAGATACACCATCCGCAATCCCCACATTTTCAGCACGAGTCAGAAATTCAGTGTGCTCCCCCTGCCTCGGGCGGTATCGTTGTGGCAGCTATGCGCAGGGCACGGACACCGGGGAACAAGGCTCGTCATCGAAAGCCTGAATATGGAATGTGCAATCGTTCTGGGGAGGTTCGTGTCCCGCTTCAGGCTTTTGGCTTGGGGTTTCACGATGCGAGATGATCTGTGTTGGGGTGCGTGCGGGTTGTGTGCTAGGATGGCAAAATGCCGAAATCTCTGTTGTAGTACATGTAGGATCCCATTGTTTCGGGCTGACATTCGGAGTCTCGTAGTTTAGCTGCTGAAAGCACTGCTCCCTAGATGTTAGGACGATTACTGACGTTTGCACCCGTATATCAACCGAACCTGCACCAAAATGGTGGTGCTAACCAAGCATGCTTCTAGTCCTAGTCCGAATACCCAAGGATAAACGCAACAAGCCTATGGTGACACGAAGAAGACCAAGACGAGGGGGAGGAGGAGGAGGAGGAGGAGGAGGAGGAGGAGGAGGAGGAGGAGGAGGAGGAGGAGGAGGAGGAGGAGGAGCCCTGGCCCCTTTCACCGCAAGGTTACAGTACATTGTCTTGGAAATATATGAAAGTAAGCTATAAGATGCTATGATACTATGTCAAGCTAGCTGAGTATATCTTGGAAATATGTTAGAGTACGTAAGCTCTGTGACAATGATAACTACTATGCTAGGTTAGATTATGCTACATATATCAAAGGCTCTTCAAGACCTATATGGGAGTTTCGGAGAATTGGGAGGGGGGTGAGGGTACCATATTTTTGGGTTCTTATAATATGGATCCTAATATTGAGGGTGCCATATTGGGGTCCCCAATTTTCGGAAACTCCCATATGGGTAGTTGTCAAAATTATGGCCCCTTTTTGGGTACCGGTACCCTAAATATTAGGTGCCGTATTATAAGAAGGACCCAAAAAGGGATCCTATTTTAGACAACCGCCCATATACTTTGATCCCAAAGTACCTACATAGGGACTACTTCAAGGCTGATGTATATCCCCTTCATGCTGCATCAGTCCCGGTGTGGGCAACAAACCCCTCATGCTTCGGACAAGTGCTGAACAGCATCTGGGTTAAGAATGCTTCAGATGCAGGGAAAAAACCACTTGTGGGAGAAAAGCCCTGCATCCCGGAAACAAAACGGTAGAGTACAGGAGGCCACGGGAGCAAGACCAGCCAGTTCGGTACAGCACCCCGCCTCTACTACGCTGGGTACTCCCGCGCGCAGCTTTACAGCGGCCAGCTCTACAGCAGCGGAGAACCGCGAGTGGAAGACGAAGCTGCGCTCGTCCACCCCTCCGCTCTCCCTACGCCGGGTCCTCCCGAACGCAGCGCTCCCCTATTTACCCCCTATTTACGGAAACCCCCATATAAGGACCAGGACCAGGACAAAGGGCAAGATATACTTTGTCCTTAAAGTAGTCCCTATATAGGTACTTCTGGGCCAAGGTATATACTATTTGGTTACATGGACCCTTACGGTTATACTTTAGAATCCTACTATATAGATCCCTAATAGAGCCCTTTAAGGAAACCTTTAGAATCCTATTATAGATCCCTTACAGGGCTAAGGACCAGGACCAGGACAAAGGACCAGGAGAAGCCGTGCCTTGACCTCCGACGCACAGTCTGAAGCCTTGGGCGTGGCAACCAGGCGTCGCAAGGCGTCCCAGTTGACCTGTGGATTTAGGGCTTTAGGGGTTTAGGGCTTAGCGTCTTTTTGTTGGGGTTTAGGGTTTGGGGTTCATATATTATAGGGGCTTAGGGTCAAGCGTCTAGGGTTTAGGGTCTAGGTTTTAAGGTTTACCCTGTACGTCAACGGGCTCGTTAAACATGCCTGTTAGTGTTATGACGCAACGTGCTCGTTTCACCCGATGCATAAAAAACCCTCTTGGGGGCTGAGATTGGCAATATGTCGTTTTCAACGATTCTAGTGTGAGGTTTCTGGAATTTACAATTGGGTTTCTGCCGTTTTCAAGGAATCTAGTGTGAAATTTCTGGGATTACCAATTGGGTTTCATGGTTTTAATACCAGGAACAGGTCTTGATTATAATGGTTCCAATATGCAAAAAACCTGAATCCCAGACCCATAATTCCCTGAAAGATCCTGATCCCAGTGCTCCGAGATGCCGAGATTCGCAGCTTCAGACGCTCCGAAGCAGGGAAGATGATCAGATGCAAACGATAATTTGGAGGATTTCAACTTGCAAGGTCTAGGACCCAAGCTCGGAAACTCCTGAAATCGAAGGCCTTTTAGTTAGTTCCGGTCCCTGTTATAGAGACTTTTAAGCCGCAGAATTGGGGTTATAAGTCCTCTCATACGGGATTCTAATACCTACATACATATATTATAATTATAATATATATATGTATGTAGTTAATCCCATATGAGAGGACTTATAACCCCAATTCATTATCCTAGAACTACCCATGAACCTCCAGGTCACCCCGGAAGCCGAGACACGCGACCCTAAAACGTGAACCCTAACTCGTACCCTAAACCTCAAACGATAGCACCGTCATATAGGGGTCTGACATTTTAAGGGGAGTTCTAGAGTGGTGTACGTAATGTAGTCGACAGCTGCCATGCTCCTTGCCGGCATGTGATATATCCCTGATTTATGCAAATATCGCCGGGCCGAAGCTCAGCTGCAAGTGGAGTTTAGAAAGAGGGGTGTGGCACTATGCGTGATGCTAGGCTCCATTCTGTCTACATGTTTCCCGAGGAAGCTTGGGTATAATTATCCATGGATGTGGTGTATGATCCTGGGATCTTCCGTGGGCCGAATCTGAGCAGCAATTGCGACTGGATAAATTTTAAAGGTGCCCTGATAAATATATTATTACAACCCATGTTGTTACCCATTTGCTTGCCCAGGGCCGTGGTGGTCCTATGAAACGAGCTTTGGCACGCCGAAGCTCGGTGGCAGCTGCATGTGCAGGGGAAGGGGCCGTATTATGTGGTCTGTTCGAATTTGTGAGAGTGCTAAGGACATGAGGAAAGAATATCAGATGCCTGGGTGGATGATCTTTTATCAGGTGGTTCTGGCGTGGTTAGATGCATGCAGCAGTCTTCGAATCTTTTGGTCTGCACTTGCGCTTGCATATGTGCTGCAATCTGGGTCAGGCAGCGTCGGTACCTTGCATGTCGCAACAGATCTAATACAGAGGTCAGTGGAAGTCTCGAAGCAAAATTAATAATCACATTCTGGGGCTTGAAGGTTCCAATGCCCTAATAATATGTATCCTGGGGCAAGTTTTGAAGTGCAGGGTCAGCCTAGCTAGATCGTGGCATGGGCGCCACAAAGCCGAACCCTCGAACGGTGCTCTTCCTGAAGGCCTGCTTGCATTAATTTTATTCCTGTTTCTCTCACACATGATCTCTCTGATTATCTCTCTTCTCTTTCTCACTGCATGCTGCGCACATGTCTTCCTATAATATTCTCACCGGGCAGGAACTCTACAAGAGCTTCCTGTCCGATGAAGACTTTGTGACGAAGCGGTTTGAGGCCATCTGCAGAGAGCAGAGCGTCGGGCCCAAGAAACTCGCTCGATGTCTGAAGCGTGGTGTTGCTGCTCTGCTTAAAATCATATGTGTACATGTAGGATTGTTGTTCTTTGTATATATATTAGGTGCTAGCTATAGCTGTCTTCCCAAAATTAAGGTGCCCGTGACGTTTAGCTTGGTTGACGTCAAAGGCCGCAGCATCACAGAGCATGATGCCACATGGCTGATTTATGCGGATCATAATCAGGGTGGCCGTTGGAACAATATATATGCATTTGTGCTTAGCTCAGGTGCAGGAGAATACCACCAACTACGAGTTTCTTTCCAACTACTTGGGCTTATTCCCGGTGATCCCGACCCAGAAGGAATCTCAGGCCATTCACGAATCAGTGGAGTGATGATCTATCATGGAATTATGCACTGCATGCAGGAAGCACTTTGCAGTGTGGCAGTGGACCATGGCATTGTTTCGAAGAACATTACGAAAGGGCAGCTCAAGGACTGGATATCCTTAAAAAAGAAACCCTAAAAAAGGCACCTAAACCAAAACCCCATAGGAACATTTGCAATGGTCCCTGAAGCACTGACTCAAACCCCCAACTCCTAAACCCCATATCCCTGGAGTATCCCTTAGGGAATCGAAACGTTCACCCCAAACCCCAGGCCCATATCCCTGGAGTATCCCTATAATTACGGAACCCTTCACCCAAAAACCCAGGAGCCCTGATAATAAAGCCTAGGCCAGGACCCCTAAACGAAATCTTCAACCCCAATCAGCTGTGAAGCACCACTCGAGCTCGCAGGATTGGGCGTCGATCGAAGGCGGCCTGCACCGGGCACTCGGGGCTTATGTGCACCGGCGGCTCGGAGCCAACTCCGGGGCAAGGCCGGGTTCAAGTTTGTAGCCTACATACAAAATAACCCTGTGTTGTCTGCTAGGGGTGGCCACGATCGTATGGCGCTTTTGAAACGAATCGTCAAGACGGTCCGAGGAATGGATCCAGAGGCTAGGAGTACTTCAATTCTTCATTCCAATATATGTTTCTTTCGTTGTGATCCTCAGGCTGATGGCAAGAAACTGCCGTATGGAATGGACACTGACGAAACGCAAGTGTTGGCAGGACTGTACGTGTAATCCCTGCAATCTATATTCTGCTTTAATTAAACTGTCTGCAGGAGCAGAAGATTCAGACGACGATGTGATTATTGTCGAGCCCCACAAGAGAACTACAAGGTGCGTCTTTGTGAGCGCGAGAGACAGACAGAGAGAGACAGAGAGAGAAATAGAGAGAGAAATAGATTATACCAAATCATGTACAAGCTAATCAACCTGTTTGTCAGGACGATGGCAGGGTGCCGCTGACTTCGAGACCGTGGCCAATCTGGCAGACGTTAGATCAAAGGCTGGCTGAAGCCGACAAACTGGTCGAGGAGCTGGAGAAGAAGACAGGGCCCTTAAGTGACAACGTCTTGCAGGTGGGTTGTACTGCTAAATCGTTCAATGTTTCTACTCTCTCTCTCTCTATATATATATATATATATATATATTATGCAATTCGAGGAGCAAACAAAGCTTCGAAAAACCATACGTGAAGGCCCAGCAGAAGATGAAGCTGATGAGGACCGGGGCCCCGAATCCAAAGGCAAGCCCAAAGCTAAAGCGAAAGGAAAGGCAAAGGCAAAAAGCAAAGCAAAAGCAAAAGCAAAAGCAAAAGCAAAAGCAGAAGCAACAGCAGAGACCAACGCCGTGTTGGAAGATGACAGGGAAGCAGATGAGGTGTTGAGTGAGGCTTTGGAGCTAGAGAAAGAAGAAGAGCAGGTGAAGAATGATGTTCGTGAAGAAGCCGATGAAGATCAAAAGAAGAAGGCTAAGAAGGGCAAAGGAAAGAAAAAGAAAGGTAGAAAGAGCAAAGAATGTCATGATGAAGCAGAGTGTGAGGCAAAAGGCGAAGGAGAGCATGCTGCAGGAGGGTTTGAGGAAAAAGCCGAAGGAAAGGATGATGCAGCAGGGTTTGAGGAAGAAGCCCAAGGAAAGGATGATGCAGCAGGATGTGGGGGTGGTGCAGATCATGCCAAACGCCAGAAAGGTGTAAAGCGCCGCCTCGAGTTCGAGCACTGCAGCGAAGAGCCGTGGCCACAAGTGGAGGCCATTTGCAAATAATATGTCATGGCTACCGGGATACGTATGTATGGTATTCATGATCATAATATGATCTGTATATATAATTTAAATAAATATATATATATATACAATATATTGTATCTATATATTAATTATATGTACGTATATATACCACAAGTACGTGTATCTATGTGTTTTAAGAATTATAATAACTTATTCCCTAAACCCCAAAGCCCCAAAATTAAGTTCCGTCCAGGAGCAGCCGGCTTCCAGCTGCACGTGGGACGCAATGGATGCAGATGGCGAGCCACCTGCTGGTGTGGTTGTGAAGAAAAAAAGAAAGATGAAAAAGAAGGGTGGCAGGAAGTCCAAAAAAGTTGTGGGAAGCACCCCACCGAGAAAGAATGACAATGAGGCAGAAGATGAGCCCCAGCAGGACTGAAGAACCTGAACCCCTACTGTAATTGAAACCTCCCATAAACTCGAATTGCAAGAAGATCTAATTATAAATCGCTAGAATAGCTTGTCTTCTACAGGAGCCGGCTGGATCCCCTGTTGGGCTGCTGCGACCTCACAAGTCGACTGGATGGACCCCTCGGCTAGCCAAGTGTAAGAGAAAGTCCAAGCCAAAGTACGACGCCGACAACCCCATGCCCAAGTCAAGACAACAGATTGAGGCAGGGACCGCTACGCATGTGTACATGTTCTTATATAGATTTCCTGTTGAACACAATCCTGCAAAACTTACGCATTATCACTGTGACAAGGCGAAGAAAGACTCGGTTCTCCACGACCTCCGACAGCTGCGGTTGTTGGACAACAGTATGCTGCTGCCGACTGACTTTTCGGACATTGCGTGGCTTGCCATTAATCATCTTTACTTAAAGGCTCATGGGACTTAGTAAGTAAGGTTATAAGTAGGTTATAATTAGGATAACCCCACTTAGGGGACTTATATATAACCCCAGTTATAACCTACATTACTAAGTCCCATGATCCTCTAAGTAAGTTGGGCTTCTGCTTCGGGTCGTGTTTCCTGTGTATTAC